GTGTGTGTGTTTGTTATAGTATAAGTATAGTATAGTATGTTGTATGTGTATATAGTATGTATGTTGTTATGTATATATATATATATATATATATATATATATATATATGTTTTTGTTGGGTATATGCATATATAACTTGGTTGATCTCAAATTGCAAGTTTCAAATCTTCGAGCATATGTTTGTAATCCTGGTTTGATTGATTGTATAATTTGGATACAATCATATTTGTTTTTCATTAGGACGTACAATATATGACCATGTTCTTTATTTTTTTATTCTTCGAAAGTAGATCAGGCTTGGGAACCCAAATTTACTCTTAGACTAACGTCTTGCCACGATATCGCTCTCAAACACAATCCCGGAATCATTCGCAATATTACAATACCACAGGTGGATACAATAGATGAGCAACGCGCAGATGATGGGCAATTATTATTTGTGTACGAAGGATGGAAAGGGTGTACATGTGCAAAGTGCGGCAGCAAACCACGCCCTAATGCCACAAGGCAACCGAAGGGGACTCGAAGGTTGTGTGTAGGATATCCGTGCTTATATATTGCTAGGTCAAAACTTGTCTCAATTTACTTGGCTGCATGTGACCGTGATTATTTATTTGAGGATCAGACGAGGCTTGACGATTTTTCGCAGCTCAGCAATCCGGAGTATGTTTATTATACTAGTATATGGTTATAAGTACACCAATTCTGGTATGTACGTGTTCTAACGTAGGGGGGTTAAATTCCGTTGAATCAATCAGAACAAACGAATTTGATCAATTTGACCAATTAGATCCGACTTACTCAGATTGACTGACTGTGCGCCTAACACTATACAATACACGCAGGTATCACAAGCTGCATGCGAATGAAGGAGATGCGGACTTCGAGACATCTATGGCTGCGCTGAACCATGATGGGTTAGATAGTGACGATGAGGACGAAGAAGCGATTAAACTAAGCAAACCCGTCAAGGTGTGTCAAGCTCAGACATGTGAGTGTGTGCCTAGTCGAAATTTGGACCGAAAGTCACACATATGATACATGATCTTGTATAGGCTCGTCTATACGTTCGAAGTCGCAACAATCATTGACCATGTCTGTTTCAATCTTTCGTTCTTCAGAGCTGCTTACGGAAACCTGCCAGAGGGAAGGGTAAAGCGCAAGCAGATAGTCCGACACCACGCAGGACCGAAAAGCTCGTACATTGTAAGTTTGTTTTTGTGTTATACATATACGTTGGATTGTGCTGATGTTTATTTATATTTATCGACATTCTCGTGTGAGAGACGTCAGTCTTCTATTGCTACAATCATGTGAAAGGCGTCCGCCATTTTTATATATACTCCCGTGAAAGGCCTCCGTCTTATATATATATACTCCTGTGAGAGACTTCCGTCTTTTATATATATACCCCTGTGAGAGACGTCCGTCTTTTATGTATATACTCCTGCGAGAGGCTTCCGTCTTTTATATATATACTCCTGTGAGAGACTTCCGTCTTTTATATATATACTCCTGTGAACGACACCCGTCTTCTATTCAGATAGTCGTGTTGTGTACAGATCGTGTTCTCCAAACATTCTTGACGGTTCTACTCTCATTCATTTCATATTCAACTACCATAAAATTTTGGTTATGTACCCGGTGAGCTATATTTGCGTACAGACACGCCCCCGCGGAGTATTCTTGTTGGGACTAGTGCAAGTGTTTGCCCGTGGGTTCACACCCCAATGTACTCACCCCTTATTAGTCATCGTTGATTATAGGACTCATTTATTGAATAATTCTTTCTGTATACATACTGTGAGACAAGAAATATCTTAACAGCAAATACAACTACCACGTTTGTGCCACTAGACCGTTGTAGATGTGTATGCTCAATCTAAGAATGTACTTCGGGCCATATCCTTCAAGCTGCCAAATTGCCCATGTATGAGTTGTAGTAAGTAGCATGCAGTTGCTGTAGCAGGTGACCTACATTCTTTCACAACACTTACTGTAATTGCGACTTGATACATCCCTATATGGATGAGCTATGGCCTCCGGATGATTACCTTTTCCAAGCTATTATCCAGTGCAGTGCAAAAGGCAGTTACGTGCATTTTATAGCCTGCGATTGCCCTTGAAGGTGATCATGTGTGTTATGCATTGCGTACCAATACGCCACCTCTCAATGTGCCGATCCTCTAATACCGACACGACAGTTGACAATGAGTTCGAGATTGCGTGGACACACAAAAAGGAACGCTATGAGCGCTCGTTCTATCCGCCCAGTATGCGGGAAGCGAAGACCCGGAGCGAGGGTATAGCCAATGAAGTACAGGTGTGGTTTATTTAAAATGTTGTTCGTATATAAGCATTATTGCGATATTGAACAGCTATTTTTATTATGTGTCGAGTAGATTGGTCAATGAAAGCAAAGTGATATCGCCTTCGTATGGCTTCGACCGAATTTATCATGCTCCCATGCCACGGAGATTCATGGCCTCCGACTCTTTAGCTCATGGAGATTGGTAGCCTTCGTCTTTCAATCCAACCAGTACACTGTCTGTTTCTGTCCAATCCCGGCATTCTTGCCTTAATTGTATATTTGTTGGATGTCCTGAGTACTCATGAATGCATATGGCTTCTCAATTGTTGTGCCTGTGTGTATGCACACTAAGTGTGCTCGGATGTGTCCCAATGTGTAGGTATGCACACCAAGTGTGCTCGCATGTGTACCAATGTGTAGCATCTATGTGCACACACTCCGCAGGCAGTTTCTGCTAGGGGCCTCTAGCTTTCCATATTGTCCGAAAGCATTCAAATGCCCAAACGAGGTCGAATGTGGCCTTCGTATCTACTCTTGTCAAATCATTATCTATCCTTTACAACGCGCCCATGTTTATCTACACTTTTAGAACCTCCACGTACACTCTTCGAATATACACACCGGTTTGTAACGCTTACCAAAATCAAGTTCTAGCGCATAGTTGTACACTTGACAGCAGTGTACTCCAGATCTACATGAAGGGATTCTCAAAGATTGTGTGTTCTAATTCTTCGGCCCAATTCGTATATACGTGCGCACAGGATCTACACAAGGACTTATTTGGTGACGATGGCTCATACTGCTTCGCTATGGCCGTGCGGAAGGCGCGTCTTGCGAAGATGCAGAAGGCCAAAATAGAGGCGTTAGACATTGCGGAAGGAACCAGTAATGTTAGTGGAGGGGGCCCCTCTTCTTAATAGCTCGAAAAAGCATAAAGGCAGTAAATTATTTATTCTTCTAGTGCGGATTTCAAGCTTACCTCTTACTAAGATAGTGCAAAGTGCCCGACGAACTAGCAAATAGCGTGAATCATATAATTAGTATATTTATATATATATATATATATATGTCTACCTATAAATATACATATACATATACATATGTGGCTACTTATTTATAAACGGGTACACTTTAGATCCGGCGGTCATTCTTAAAGACTATAAAACAGCACTGCACCAGTGTTGATCGCCGTGCCGTATATCCTGTGTCCACTTTTATTAGGGGCCGGTACACATACCAAGTAAGGATTCAAAGCACACTTGTTTGCAGACTGCTGCGTGTATAGTGAGAATACAAACATCAGCAACATAAGTACGTACCTGCATCTGAGACCTCCATATCGCATCATACACTTCCAGAGTAAGAACCATGAAGAGCAGATTGTTGATACTAATCACAGCGCCCATTCGTCTCAGCTTGACCAGATTCGCAAAGGAAAGTACAAGCAGACCCTACAGTACTGTTGTACGAGAACAAAGAACAGAATGGATGCCTCAACGCTGCCCAGGCTGGCACTTACTACGGCCATGCGTTGAGACTCCGAGCTATATGCGAGGGTGGAGGGTCAAACAGCGCATATACATACGGTAGTATTAATGTAGAATAAGGCCAGGCCAAAAGACTAGCAGACAACTCACGATGCGTTATACTGGCTTGCGTGCTTATGTGGATTCAGCGGACTTTGAACATATCACACACGGTAGGCTATGCAGAGGATTGCTTAATCCCACATGGCACTGTGGGAGCATACTACCTGAAAGGAGTCATCCGCCAATCCTCTACAGCCCGACGTGATGTTCTGACCCCTTCTTGTACGTTTATTATTCAATACACACCCAGAAGTTGATTTTTTTAAATGCCTTTGACCTTCTGTCACATTGCATACTTCTTCGGTATGTAGATGCATGCCCAGACGAATATATATGCACTTTCCCTGTCCCAGCATCCATACTAGCTACTTTCGGGGTAGCAGTATCGCCACTCAGTTCGATCTCATCTTGCTGTGTCTTTGGTGTGAATTTGTATTTCCATAATTCTATCCATTTGATCATTCCTGTGATGGTTGCACATCAGACTGCGTAACCAGTAAGTGAATGTAAATACATACATTCACACTGTATACGCACCTGTGTGTTCAATAAGACTACAGTAAAGTTGAGGGCTGAATAGATTTATCGCGAGACATTGTGCCGGATGTATATATGTAGGAGACATGTGCTCACCAGTGCTCAACATACATTGCACATACCAATGCACACAATAGGGATCGCACGTATTCGTAGTATCTCCTGCCTGGTGATACATCTTGATGCAGGCCCTTCCAGAGAGTGTACAGAGTACGGCAGTAGGCTCTCTGAATGATCATAACCATAGCCTTCTGAAAATAGAACATAGCGTCCTATAAAAAAGATAGTCTCAATTTAGAAGTAGGCTACGGGCTATGGCTCTATGAAATGGTCAATTGATCACCAATCATAAACCCTAAACCCTAAAAGTCGGCGGGGGGCGTAATTTTGGTACATATGTACGTACATATTTTTAACTATTTATGTACTTATCTCGTGAAGATGAAAAAATAGATGTACATATGTGCATGATTCCTCATTCAATTTAGACCACTTGTCTATACCTTAAGGCGCACATTGACCATACAAATAGAGGCCTGTCGCCAGGATAGTTCAGACAGATCGTTGCAATCTGGAAACTAGCAACGGTATGGCTGAGCAAAGACGTAGACACGAATAGGAGTGCAGGGATACACACACATCTTCACCTCTAAGGTAGCTATTTATGAATTTGATAGATAGTATGGATATACAATATGCTGCAGCAACTCCAGACAGATGAGGACCATATCCTGCAATCCGCAAGTTCAAATTCAAACCATATCAGCACCTCGAATACACCTCAACAGGCGGTTGCTAAGCAACATGGAGTCATACATCCCAGTATGATGAGAGTTTTTACAAGTGACGCGATGCAGTCGCACGCTAGTAAGACCAGCCGGCAAGATGGTACGAGGCACGACAGCAAGCAGTATCAATACAAACGCAACTCGTTGGCCCGTCCACAGAGTATAGACACCAACGTGGCTCAATCACAGCATGCAGGGAATATTATTCAACAGACGTATACAAATATAACACAACTCTACAATCAAGGAACGAATCGGCAGGCACATTGCCCTCGTGGCGACCACGGCGGTAGGAGTGTACCTAGCCTTCGAAGTGATCAAAGATTGACGGAGGCTCAGACGCTGCACCCGGATAGGCTACATAGAAATACACACGAAAGTGGCGTGTCTCAGAACCCACTGTTGCATCAGACTCCACACGAAAGTCGAAAACAGCACGAGCATCATGTATATCCACGAACGGGATCATGTATACACCCATCTCGTGCGCACATTATAGGCAAGACCCCTGCGGCTGCTGCAGTTAGTACTGAACAAGCGGAGAGGGCGATGGACTGCGAAGATGGCGACGAAATGCCGATACTCAGCACTCACCCTACACTCAAGTACCGCCGCACCGTGTGGCAAGAACCGGCTACGAGTACTGGAACTACAGTACGTGTCACTGGTGGTAGTACGAATGCCTATGGACTGACAATGCCGACTACAACAGCTATGGTTTACATACCTCTGGAAGGGAGTGGTTCATCGCATATGGGTAGTCATAATGTGGGCGTGCGTTCTGCGGGTGAGAATAATCAGAGGCAGGCTCCGGGTCAGTATGAACTACAAGGCAAGTCCGCGATTAAGAAGTTTAAGAAAAACAAGTCGCGAATCAGAAAGTTTGCTCAAGAGCGCAAGGAGAATCCCCGCAAGACTAGAAGCCAACGGAAACGGGAAAGGAGACAGGAAAGGAGTGGTCGACCTCAGGGGCGGAAAGAAAATAATAAGATGGCCAACCAGAAGAAGACCCTAAACATACCAAACAACTATGTGTTGACGAAACCGGTATGTACGAGGTTTTAGAGGTGTTATGTATATATATGAGTTGGTAGTTGGCTCACTCTTTGCCGTTATACAGTACACTGGTTGTCTGCCAGGCATTTATAGATTCCACGTAGCACGCTATCCTGTCCAGAGGTCGTATTTCGTTCCAAGGGATTGTTTTTATGTGGGTAGGTTTATCATTTTGTATTTCGTGGAGATCTTCACCATGTGCGACCGTAATATCAATACTATACCAGATTGCGGCTAACTTCAGTACTCCTTCTGCACAGGCACATAAATTCAGAGGTCGTATTTCGTTCCAAAGGATTGTATTTATGTGAGTAGGTTTATCACCTTGTATTTCATGGAGATCTTTATTATGAGCGACTATATCAGATTGTGGCTAACTCCAGTACTCGCGTTTGTATAGGTATCAAATTCACATTCACATATCGCGTGGGATGGTTGAAATGGTTTACGCACCGTCATATCAGTTGGAGGTACATCCCCCTTCCGGTATTCATAACTAATCGATGGTTTTATAATCAATCCTTTTAGTCTATAGATGTACTTTATGGACACTTATGTACAATTCAGAAGGAAATGAACTCGGTATTAGAAAACGTGGTGCACGTGCATATGTATATACTCTCGCATTCGGGTGATGTGTTGTGTCGCATCGCACAGTCATTTCTTCTCATTATATATTTGCTCCAGCTTCTATCTTGAGAACTGGTGTATACGATCATCAGACACGTTTTATCTTGCCACGAATACGTTTGCACCCACTTTATATATTCAGACCTTTATAAAATCGACAAACCCAAACGTATATTTTGTCCATATTCGCACATTTGGTGTTTTGTGGTCAAACGTAAAGTTACATAATATAGGTATGTTTCTAATATTGAGTTAATATCTCATGTAGGGCGATCCAATGATCACTCGGCGACTCAAAGCGGGCCCGCATGTGTGGGTCGAGCAAAGGAAAGGAAAGAAAGGACAAAAACTTCAAAAGGAATTGATCGGGGTGTGGGCACCACCGGAAGCTGTTGCAGAGGTACGTATGCTTTCGCTATCATGTTTATCAATGTTTTTGTTCCATGAAGATCATTGTGCGGGGACTGCTGTGGTAAGAGACAACCCCTGTGACGTCACACTTAAGCTGTCGTTCGTATGCATCGAATACACTCTCGTTGTTTGAATTATGTTCACAACAGCAGGTGCGTCTGCAAGCATGCACGTGCACACTTATAGGCACTTCTAGTAACCGTTTCAATACATTTCCGCAAATACACACTCACACTATCTCAGGTATTAAAAGGTGTGAAAGATACACGAGACAACCCCCAGTACCATGCTGCACTGGATCGAAGCAAGCTGCGTCGAGACGCCCAGGAAGATGACTTATCGGTCCATCTGCAGGCGACGGTGAAGGCTTTCTTAAATTTTAGACCACCACATGAATACCTAGCACAGCAACTGGCCAAGAGGGTGGTGTCTCACGCCATACCCGTAGGTAGCAATACCATTTTGCGGAAGAAAAGTACGAAGAATCTGGTATGGCTTGTATATACTTGGACCTGTTACATAGTTTTTGCTGTAGAATAGGTTGAGGATCACGCGGAAAAATGATTAAAACCAACGGCCCTTTGGTGCGTTTGGATGATAGTCTACGTGCACGGAGGCTTAGTATTCAAACACTTGCCCTTTGAAAGCTTCAGCTGACCTCTCACCCTCCACACTATATCTTCCTATTAGAGGATGATATGGGCAATCGTGGCCAGGAATACTATACTCTCAATACACTCGTCAACTAAGTCTACTATGAACGATTGATCGACTGCACTGAATGGTCTCGAATGGAAGGGGCAATGCTGCTTCCGGTACTTTTATCGGAAGTTTACATTGACTCTTGCCCAGTCACATCAAAACCATCGGGGATTACCGAAAGGATTAATCCCGTGCACGCATGCTCTGCAACTATTATATATATATATATATATATATATATATATGTGTGTGTGTGTATATACATATATATGTATATATACATATATATATATATATATATATATATTATGTATGTATGTATGTATATATAGTATGTATGTGTGTGTGTGTGTGCGTGTATGCGCGCGTGTGTGTGTGTGCGTATATATATATTGTATATATTTAGTATCTCACGCGAATCGGAAATATGGAGGCGGTTCTATCTACGACTGACTTGCTTGTGACCCAGCTCTATATCTACCACACACTCCTAAACAGGACAAGTCAGCAAGGGCAAGGATGGCTACTATGGCTTGGCTGAGACATTCCAAGACTTGCACGTACACTCAGACGAGATTTAGAGATGCAAAACAGCGAAAGAATGGCCGACGACGGGCACATGAGCACAATATGAAGATCATAAAGAAGTATCGAACTTTTGATGTGATCGATCCCTCAACCTGCCCACTAGTCATGGCTGTGGCGGCGACTGAGAACCAGCAAGTGGCACGGGTATGGATTGCAGTCAGCTTCTACGTCTGGAAACATTGCACAAACCATCGTTTGTATTATATGGCTTGAGAGTAGACGTACGTAGAACACTTTCTGATTTTTGGAAGCTCTAGGCTTCTCATACCGTCAATTTTTTTCTCCCAATTAATGTGTACCCTAATATATGGCTAAGCAGTGGGACGCTATCTATTGCAAGCCTACACCAGCGTGCAATGATGTACCAGAGGCAAATTACCGCTTCTCACAATATTATGCAGACGTCCCGATCCAGACCCTTTTCGCCTATATCGATTGATGTTACTGCACCTATACTCGGAGTATTTTCTTGCCGAAAATTTAGGCCTCACATCCACTCAGCAGACTATATCCTCATTTCTTCCAAAATCTTGTCACTGTCACCAGCGAAAACGCAAATACGTCAGATCTACGCTTCAGACTAGAATCCAAGAAAGCAGAAACAGAGTGGGACTATTTGGTGACAGAGCACAAACAATGGAAAGTCGTGCGCAACGGCTTATACGAAAAGCACTGGAGCTGAAATTGTATATGCAGACGCTACGTTCGGAAAATAAGTTTCCCACCCCCGAGTCACACAACGGTAGAGAGTACGCCAAAATCTCGAGTATATTGGTAAACATCGAGGCCGCCGTCAAACAGGATCCTGCAATAGAAGCGCAATGGAGAGAGGAAGAGGCATCCTTGACACAAGAGGCATCCGTGACACATGAAGGTACCTCCCGTCAAGGTGATACAGAACAAACCATGGAAAGCAGAGCTCAAAGGCTGATCCAAAAGGCACTGGAGCTTAAGATGCATATGCAGACACTCCGCTCAGAGAACAGGTGTCCAGCCCCAGAGGCGCAAAAGGGTAAAGAGTACGCTCAACTTTCAAATACGTTGGACGGCATCGAGAAGGCTATCAAAGAGTATCCTGCAATCAAAGCTCGATGGGCACAGGAGGAGGAGTCTCTTGTGCAAAAATGCACATCGCGACAAAAGGCTAGACACGAGCAGCACGATCATGAAGGTATGCGACCGGGCATCGCCAAGCGACAGGTACATGACTATGGTAGAAAGTCGCAAAACGGGTACTGCGAATTGGACGGCTTCATCGCCACATCGGAAAGCGAGATGGAGGGCTCGGATTCGGGTGATGGAAGCTCAAGTGATGACTACTGGAGTGTTCATGATGAGAACGACGCAGATGACTTTGGCAGCGAGGAGTTTGATGTAAAATCTGAGCACGAAACGGCTGCGAAAGCTAGGTATAGTGCGTTGAGTATAGGTGGTGACTATGAGGCCATGTCCAGTGGTGCGGAGAGCTGTCTTTCGGCGACTGAGAGGGTCATGCAGCGTATGTATTTGAAAGAGACGAGAGGCGGTACTACGAAGAGTGGCCGGGATAGCGTGGACGAAAGCAATAGTGATAGTGACAACGACAGTGGCAGCGCCGAAGACAGTGGGAGTGATGGAGAATGGCAGAGTGGCGATAAGCACACGAGACAGGCCTTAGAAAGACTTGGGAGCTATGCTAAGAGGAATGATGGCAGCGATAGGGGAGAAAAAGAGAGAGGCCGGGGGTTCAGTCGTAGAGAGTGTTCCGAGAGTGTATCGGATGCAAGTGAGGACGAAGTTTTTTTGCGCGACATCGAGGCTATCGAAAATGTTTATCAAACTCGGGGCCGGAAGAGACCTTCTGCAGTGCACAGCAGTGAGATTTCTAGGCAAGGCGCTTCAAACGCTGATGGTGTATACGGGTCATCGAGGGTAAAGAGGGCCAAGGTTGTGGAATGTATAGACTTGTGTGACAGTGAGGATGATCGACCAAATGAATCTGCAGCAAGCGGTACAGCAGCCGGTACGACGGAGACAGTTGACACTACTTCGGAGTATGGCCAGAGAAATGGGCAGGAAAGTGAGAGTGACAACGCGCAATTGAATACAAGTGAACGAGTGCGCACAGTGCCGCGGAGTCGGGGGCGCAGGATTGTCGAGAGCGGTAGTGCGAGCGACCAGGACAATGATAGTAATATCGCAGAAAAGAAACAACCCAATGATCAAGCAGGACTATCTGTGTTTGGAATGCCTCCCGAAGTTGATGTACCTAAACGGCCGGTGCTCCTGAGCGCGTTAACAAGCCCGAATAGACCACAAATATCAGCCACAAACGATGAGGTGTTCCGTACACAGCTATTTTCGGGTGAAAAGCGGAAATTAGTTTTGCTTGAAGATGGATTTGCCGGTGTTGAAGCGCCTCAAATTGAACTATCGCGAAGGTTAAACGAACCGCAGGCTGCAGCAAAATTATTTAAAACACAGCACACAGCAACGGCTTCGAATGAGGTGGGAGAGATGTGTGCGTCCACCTCGGACCTATCGGGAGACGGAGTCTCTTGCAAGTCAATACCTTCGAATACGAATGGAGGGTTGTTGTCTACCAGAGTCGAAACTGATCGCAAGGACGTCAGAGTGCCACATGCACAGGCACCCGAACTACCACTGGGGGCTGATACTATTGTGAAGTCAATAGCACCCACCCACCCACGACAGCCAGCAAACACAACAACCCCATCTGCTACACAAGTAAAAGCACCATCAACATGCACAACACCATCGCAACCGCCATTAGGTTTAAACGCCCGGGGAATCGAAGTTGCACATAGCACTCCATCTCAACAATCGAAAGCGCGAGTGCCAGAGTTCATATTCGTCCCTAGTGACAGAGACGATGATTGTATTATACTGGATTAACTATACGCGGTGTTTTTAATAGCGATGGACACTCTGTGTCTCGGCCTCGCAGCCACGCCAAACTATTCAATGACTAAGTAGGAAGCTGCAATCTCACAGCCACACCAAACTATCCAATGACTGAGATGGAAGCAGCAATCTCGCAGCCACACTAAACTATTCAATGACTAAGATGGAAGCGGCAATCTCACAGCCACACCAAACTATCCAATGACTAAGAAGGAAGCAGCAATCTCACAGGCACGCCAAACTATCCAATGGCTAAGATGGAAGCAGCAATCTCGCAGCCACACCAAACTATCCAATGACTAAGAAGGAAGCAGCAATCTCACAGCCTCACCAAACTATTTAATGACTAAGAAGGAAGCAGCAATCTCGCAGCCACACCAAACTATGCAATGACCAAGAAGGAAGCAGCAATCTCACAACCACACCAAACTATCCAATGGCTAAGATGGAAGTAGCAATCTCACAGCCACACTAAACTATTCAATGACTAAGATGGAAGCAGCAATCTCACAGCCACACCAAACTTTTCAATGACTAAGATGGAAGCAGCAATCTTGAAAGGTGGAAAGGTCCTAACGTAGATTAAATTGCACTGATTGTGAACGGAGCAACGAGTCGTCCTACTTTCTTCTATTGAACCCTTTCTGGTACATGCAAGCGCTTATTTGACGTGCTTCATACTCTACTAAATCTGTGTGATCCAAATGCGCAGATCATCGGCATTCACGTTCAGGTATATGTACGACTTGGATTATATGTTCCTAAATTTTGTATTGTATTAAAAATTCGTATCAAAATTTTGATGCACCTCCGAGATACCCTATCATATTCATTTCTAGAACTTTATTTTTGTCTTCTGTGTGCTCAATTATGTTGATATCATGTATTTCTCAGCAGGCTGAGCTCGCCCCTGCATGCAACACTCACTCCAATATCGAGGTTTCAAGTATCGGTCGCTTGGGCATTGGTATGCGAGGTGCTTCATGCATGTCGATCTGTTTGGCTGGATAGCTGAACTATTCCGAGACTTTTTTTTTCAATGTACATACGCTCCGTTAGTTTTCGAAATGCACTCTGGATGCTGGAATATGTTTGTTAGTTTGCTATATCTGGTGGGAGCATTGACATTGGGCATAAGTGACCCCACTCAGTGTACGCGCCGCATCGATATCAATGACCATTTAGTCGAGCGCACATATTGGCGATTGTGTCTTTTTCTCTCTTCGTACGGAAAATGTGGTCAAGCCTGCGCTAGTATATTATATCTGTAAGCATTGATCTGGAAGCTTGCCGCGGTGGTGCATACTACCTACGCGGCACTAAGTAGCCGTTTGCTGTATTGTGGGGCGCATCGTGGTACAAATCACACCGTACTGAGCGCAGAGGCTTTGTCGTTGTATAACTCGAGCGTGTGGGATGGACCTCAGGTGTCGTGTGTGATGAGGTAACCACTCAGCGTGTTGAGAGCGTTCTCAATCTGTGACAAGGTGTTATGCAAAGCTCAGAGTGAATAAAACCTGAATGGGGGGTAGATAGAGAAAATATAAATACTTTGTATTCACCTGAATTGAAGGGTAGATAGAGAAAACACAAGTATGACAAGTCGAATAGAATGCAGATAAACATCACTTTCAAAGAATCTAAAGACTCATTTTTGTTAAAAGATATACACAGTTGAATGTAGGATTCGCAGTTACGATACACATTTTTGTTAAAGATATATACAGTCGAATGTAAAATTCACAGTTATGATTCAGTTGAAAGTTTCAAACTCAACGAAACAGCGGCAAGAACACCACCTACAACTCGACATGATATAGCTTGAGATGCCGCTTTGGCCAATACCTCTGTGGTGAGCTCAGGTAGGGTCTGGAGTATGCAATCTTTGACCATCTGCAGCGCTACACTTGCTTTGATCTCAGAATTGACTCTACGCGCTGTTGGATGAGTATGAGTACATCATTACATGCAGATCAGAAAATGTTCGCACAGCGGTGGGCTGACTATATGTTTGGTGGGAAGATACGCATTCACCGTGTCGTTAAGGCGTCTTCAGGGCAGCAATTAATTGTTATTCAAGTATCTCATGCAGGTTATTTTGTTTAAACGCCTTAACTCAACTGTATAGAATATTCCCACAAAGACTATCGTTAATAAAGAAGTGAATAGCAAACGATTTGGTCATATTCTCACAGCAGATATTCTTTCATCCCCTTACCCTTGGCCGTATGGATCTCCTCGATCCATTGGCGTGCTTCGTACACTCCAGGGGCTGTGAAGTTGAGCGTGCTCTGCCCAGAGGTGGAAGCGTATGTTAACTGAATAATGTCCTCACTCGATCCTTTGGACACATCACATCTGGACAGGATTATCGGCTGCAGGCAAAACGTGCGAGGGGTAGTAGGATCAAAGTCAACTTTGGAATAGGCAAACAGCTCGAATTTAACTGGGGGAAAAAAAGGGATTTTCAAGCGACTACATACCTGTTTGAATACGAAGTTCTTGTCCTTGCCTGTACTGCTGAGCTTGGAAGGTCTAGTCAATAGTATTATATTCTCAAATAGATACACGTCCAGTTCTAGCGTCCGAGTTGTCTGTATTGAATCGAAGGATTCGGAAGCGAGCATAAATATGTACGATAATGATTCACTATTCTTGTTTTTGCTCAAATGGTATTGAGACCAGATATGTATATGAAAGTGGGGCAAGCGCGTACTATAATGCCTGTATCTGAACCTTGATGCATATATCATGAATGGCGCAAATTGAGCATCAAAGGCCACCTACCGTTTGGTGCACCAATGCGCCGTTATACCACAGTCTTTGTAGTGTGAGGTCAAGCAGCTTCGCATTGTCGGTGAGTACCAATTGCGCCTTCAGCGCTGTGATGGTTGCGAGATTGTCTGTGTCTCTCACACGTTCGTTGACTTTATGAAGTACGCGCTGGAGAATATTAAAGCAGTACGAAGGTCACAACACATACACGTCTATAAGACTTATTTTCGACATTTCGGTGCATGAAAAACTTATCTTTCGAAGACAACAGCTTTCCTAAGTTGCAAAATTGACCCTATTTGCCACCCGAGTAATAAATGCCAAATCAGCGAATCCGACCCCAACAAAACTGTCAGATTCCATCATTGGCTTTCGACGAATAGAATGCAATCAGATATAAAACATCAACGACGCCTCAAAACAAAACTCAGCAACAGCTGTGCACGCTGTTTACCTACCTCGCAGACGGCGATGCATTTGTCCAGCTCTGTGCACAAGGCGGGGTCCTCTTTGCACCGCTGCAGATGAAATCAAGGTAGGAATTGAGAATCAGGCCTCAGGCCTGAAGCATAGAATAGCAGCAATCAAGCTGCCAATTCTTACACTACTCACACTGGACCAAACCATGTCCTATAGCCCCAGTCCTAAAGTTGAGTCTGATGAAAGCTTTTGTATGCCACGCACTCGTGTAGGTACGGGCTTGTTGACTTATGGAAACTAACTTGCACTGGTATACACACCAAGATTGTGCCGTTGTAGTCTTGAGTGTATAAACGCCATACGTGTACAAAAGTCCTATATTACATCTACAGCAGTACAATCACTATGTAGTATCACTTTGACCAAGCTCTTAATACACTTTCCTCGTCCCTATTAATATCATGCTGAAGGCGAACACAGGATCTGATTTTTGAGTTGACAAGACCTGGATGGTATGTACGTAGGTCTTAAATTATTTACACTATATTTGATATTCTTGCTTAACAGGTATCACAGTTTGTACTTTCGAGTGGAGTCCATGGTCAATCCAAATCTCAATATCGTATATAGATGTTGAGAAGCTACAGTCTCATACACAAACTCCTTTAGATGTTGGGAAGTTTCTAAGGCATGTTATGGGACTAAACTCAATACGAATATCAGGTAGCTCGATTTCTCCCAAGGATGCTTAAACTACATGAAGCTCCAGAACAAACTCACCTTTCGTAAAGTAGATAATAACAAGGGGTACTTGGTGAGGCGTTGCATTGGTTTGACCAGCAGGTCTGCCAGCGACAGCCGGTCGCATTGAGGTTTTTTCTCATTCCTGAATGAGTAATTGAACATCCGAATTTAGCCGACAGTTTTCCCGGAAGTAGACATGCACAAAGCGGCACATATCGCAGCGGATTTAGTAGTATGTTATATGACTTGAATACTGCAAGTGTAAAGTCCCTGATATTCCATCGGCGTCTTGAAATAGGCTAAACCATACTTGATAGTGTGCAACAAGTGTCAAATAGCGTGTATGTGTGGATGAGAGCACGTCTCTGCTCGACTTCATTCCCTATTTTTTTGGAGTGTATGTGTGGATGAGAGCACATCTCTGCTCGACTTCATTCCCTATTTCTGTGGAGTGCGTGATGGCTAGGGGTTGCTTAACTAGTAATGGAAAATAAACCATGGTGCACTTTGGCGAAGGAGAAGCTTATCGGTTAGCTGTCTGTCACATAAGAATACTTGGTCCTACTCGACCCCTAGAATCGGTCATGTTATACCGGGCAACAGTGAGAACACACCACCTACTCTGGAGCGTCGAAACAGCATTCAGTATAATAGGCAATTCATTGAGTGTTATAAGTGCCGTTGTAACGTATGGGATGTGATACACGGGCAGTCACGCACTGTAATCTCTGAATGATAACACACCATCGGATGATCTTGCAGAAGTCACTGGCCGCATTCTGGTTGAGATTTGTTTTGACAAATTTGACCGAGTCGACGTGGTTTATGCAGTAGGGGATCAGTGGCTGAGTGATGGCCTCAAACTGCAAAATAGGGTATTAGAACCAGAAAATAATTGAAAACAGACGGTATAAAGTTATATCGAGAGAGCTGTGCATGCATTGAATGCCTGTACAGGATGGTAAGCCACCTATCGGGATGGTAGCTCAGTCTCAGAGAGTGTGTTGTAGAGTGTTTGTATGTAATATTCTCTGAATCAGAAATGCTATGATTTCAGCCATAAATAAAAAAAGTTTGGAAAACAAATTGGATAACTGCCTAAAACCCCAACAACGACAAACATCGCAATCTTATTGACTCAAGAGTGCTGCACAGAAAATGAGGTAGCCATGTATCGATCAACTTGGCGACTTGCGCATGCAAAAGATACTAGCTACGCCAACCGTGAGGTACACATCTCACATATGTCCTGCATCGTGGAGAGGAACATGCATCCCATATGATGCAGCACTTTGCACAATGTATCTTAGAATGTGACACTGTGGGACATTAGCGATACGCTGACCAGTATTTATTCAGAGACCAAACACTGATGTCACATTTCGTCTGGATATCGAGTACTTTACAGACATGCTCAACAACAAGTAAGACCACTACATCGCACATACATCTTTGAAGGCTTCCACGACTCTCCACGGATTGAAGAAGTCGGTCTCGTCAATGGGACTCCGTAGTACATCCAATCCAATCGATTCTGGGAGAGTATAAGGTGATAAGTGGAGTATGAGAGATAGTAGACTACTCTGCGTCCAGTACTAAATGCATGTGTATGTACGAGTGCCGCTATCTTTCGTGTATGTGCATTGGATTATGGATTATTTATGGACGTATTCTGTCATCGTTGTCGGCTACGGCACTGTCACGTATATATTTTTTTATCGATGGAGGAATCTATGCCTCACTGTCAATATCGGTAAAAGTGAACAAATGCGTAGTCTGGAACGGGCGATGCTATGGAGCCGATAGGGCTTTGGAACCAATCAGTTCCGTAGATCATCCAAGATGCGGTGTCTGTTCCCCAAGCAATTTGATTAACATGTTTTTTTTCGACCATCGAATATGTACGAAGGGGAGGGATGTCATGGAACAAGGTTGTGACAGCCGAAGTGGCTGGACAAACACTACCCAACAGTCAACTTTTAAATACACGTGATTTTGAATGCCAGCTTACTTAAATACACGTGCTTTTGAATAGCGACGAAAGCACAGACATGCATTTCGTACGAAGAACCGTTATCCACACTTCTTTTTCTTCCTTCAAAATTAGAAACCGACCTATGTAGATGTAACTCACCTATACTGTTCTGACTATACATGGCCTGGCTTTGGCGTTTCTCCTTAGAGGTCATTGTGCGCTTCAAAGTGTTTCCTCCGTGAGCTCTTATCTTCACACCTGCCAGCAGTGTCTGTGGGAAATGTAAGTTATAAGCATACGCGCAAGTGTGATATAATAAATCCAATCGCATCAGATTCTCATTCATGTCCCATAAGTTCTTAGAGGTTTATACACAAAGTTAAATTGGTGGAAGCTATTGATATCCATGTCCGTAACCGGTACATGTCAACGTGCGTTCTTTCAGATGGTAGAAAATCCAACTGTTACCCTCGATTTTTGAGAAAATTTGTACCGCACGTTGCCAAACAGTTTAATCTTCACACACACGCACACACACACACACACACACACACATACATACATACATACATACATACACACACATACACACATACATACATACATACACACACATACACATACATACATACATACATACACATACACACATACATACATATATACATACACATACGCATACATACATACACACTATACTAGCATATCTCGATTCAACTTAGCACACACCTGTCGCACAGCCTCGTTGTTGCTGGCGTCTCCCTCAGTCTTAGCGATTCCGTTATCCTCCACTTCACTCGCACTGACACTGGGCAAATCGAACTCCACTCTATTCTTGTTCTGATGCAACCCCTCGCTATACCGTCTATACACAGAATTGGTCGAATCTGATTGGGCCAGTATAGTCCTCTGCCGCTCTGCCAATAAACTTTTTGAGCTGGCCTCGGAATGTTTCCTGCCCAGGTAGAGCTCCTCTGAATTTAAGAAACCTGCCAAAATAAGACATTTGCGTGTGAGTAAACAGCTGTGTTCGCGCAGAAAGCTCTTGACTTTGTTGCAGAAACTCGGGGTACTGGAAAATCTGACCTATCAAAACCCGAGTTTAAAACTGTGGCATGCATCAAATGGAGACGCCGCAGATTAATATAGCTGGAAAGTTGCGACTACAAAAAACGAAGCAATTAACGAAGTAGGATGCGTACGAACTCCGCCTTTGAAAGAAGCCACGCAAATACATCAGCACTGGCCAAATCTGATGTCTATTGCGGATTACATGGATAAAGAATCAAATGACAAACATGAATGACCGCATTGTGTTCCTAACACAGCAACCGGCATACCTGGCACCCGTCGGTTGGTTACATCCAGTGTTTGGCCTTGTTCTTGACCCTCTAGTATCGTCTCCACACCAGCTTCTGAAGCAATTGTATCTGCAAACGTCACACTCTCAACCTCTGCCACGGAGTCGTGAAAAGTTATTGCGTGATCTGATTGGCCACTACTCTGCCCCTGCCTGGTCTGTATAGAATCATCGCTGGGTTCGGATTGGACCTGTGCCTCTTCCTGGGGTTTCGAAGCAAGTTGAGCGTACCCACTATCTGTATCACTGCACTTGACCACACAACTGTCGACTACAGTGGACACATCACCACGAGTGTCGGTACTGGACACGGACTGCCTCGCACTAGCATCCACGTGCACAGCCTCAGCTTTCCCGCTGTTGTTTGTATCTTCGTCTATACTTGACATTCGGAATGTACTCAGTCTATGTTTGTGCTCGTGCGGACGTGCTTGTGTGTGTGTGGTGTCTATGGGTGTCTCGACAGGTTGTTCGGTTGCTGTCCGTGAATTACTTCGGGAATCTGGGGCCAGGACCAGGTGTAATCGACCTGCCATTAATTCGGCGGCCTCGTATACCTGTATGTGCATAAAGCAACAAATTGTTGATCAGTCCGCATATGTACATACAGATATCTGTTGATAAATATAAAACTTGATAAGGCCTTGAATGAAGCTATACATGAGAATAGATGTATGTGGACTTGTTTTCTAAAGTTTCCAGCTAAATACATAAAAGGCTGTACTGCCATAAAACATGCATAGACCCTCACGGATGCGGCATTCGGATACCCACCTCCGGCACATGCACACGCGCGCGTGCAAACAATAGGATGTTGACATGTGCCTAGACATGCGTTTGTAGGCATTCACAAGTACGCTGTTAAGAAAAGAACTAAATAACCACTGTCTTTCTGTGTGTATCGATTCCACTTGGAGTCAACCACAGCTGGACAATGCGTGGTGGCTTTACCTGTTCTATATTGGTAAACATCTTCTTGCTGTTAATATTGTTTATGAATCCTTCGGACCTGAGTACTTCTAGTGATGACAAAAAGCCCTTCACCACATGGCGGCAGTGTCCATGATATCCGAACTCCGTCTGCAATCGAATTAAGTAGGCATATATGGGGGCTATATATCTCAAGCGGTTGTCAGTATGTGCTACTTTAGTCTCGACCACTGCTATACGACATATACACTATATGTATCATGTATGTCCCGCATGACATTTTTGATGACTAAACAATAATTCTTTAATGCGAAGCTAGCTTCGTACTTTTTGTTTGCAGTATTCAGCATCAAATATCTAGAAATCAAGACACGTTTTTAACTGTCTACTACTGTCCTTGTTTACTCTTATCTTGTGATCTCGAGTATTTCATTCTCATAGCTTCTAATAACAAGCTCAAAAAAAATCGTAAATATGATAGCAACCTACCGATAAGAGCTCCCATGTAACTTCATACTGTTTCTGCTCATCCGGTGTGATCTCTGCAACTTTTTCGGGTGAGATGATTTCTGACCAATGCTTGCCCTGTGTAGTGTGTTGAGACAGCGTTAGCGTATGTGATATACTCAAGGGGGAAGCAAGATCTAACGAGGGTAAACAAACAAGCATGAAGTTGTTTGAACGATCATGAACATACATCCACATAACTGGGGACAAGCATGTTTTAGGAGTGTTACTAGTACATCTGGCGTTTGGTATGCAGTTAGTACTGGCTTCATATCTTCTTCCCATACCAAGTCTGCACAAGCGCCAGGCAGATATTTGAAATCTTTCATGCACACCTTATACTTGGCATACACGTCTGCGACCGCATCCACCTCTTCGCTCTCGTCAAGTATAGTAAACCATTCGTCCAGAGTGTGTGTTTTCTGCATACTATCGCTATCCCCCTCATTCTCTGTGCTGCCTATACGACTGGCCCAGGATGTATCGCTTTCACAACTACCCATTTCTCTGATGTTCGTCTCGCGGCCTTTTCTGGAGACGTCTGAAACCCCCCTTGGCCTACATCACGCAGAATGGTGTGTATGCATACACAGAAGGGATTCAAAAGCGACTTCGTGTTAATACAAAGTTAAATCCTGACGAATTTCTCACCGCGAATAACACCAAATCGGTTGGCATATCTTCACGACCGTATTTTGTAACTCATCGATAAGCAACTACTATACGATCAATCTCCTGTATAAGTGTACAAAGATATTCCCTGAAACATGTCACCAATAGCAAGACTACAATGTGGGAGCAAAGGCAAATGTACAAGCCATGGACAAGCGCCTGAACCCAGCGGAACCCTTAATTTTTGTAGTGAAGTATTATCCGATTTGATTGTAAATCAAATTTGCTGAGTGTGGATTAGCGGTAATGAGAACACACACGGATGCGAGATTCTTTCAATAAACACACCTCCGTGTCTTGGGCTTGACAGACAAGCTTCGGCCAATCATACGACCAGACTTCTTGCTAGATAAGCTATCCACACTCATACTCGTTAGAGATATATCGATGGCACCATCCGTGTTACTGTCGCTGTCCAATTTTGGGCTATGGGTCCCGAACTTCTCCGAGTATCGACTTGGGGGTTCACGAGATTTGAAACTGTTTGTGCCACGTTTTAGGCCCTTGTCTTTTTTAGAGGGCAATAGGTCTACCAGGATGGATCGACGCTTGTTCTGTGTATACGAGTGAAAACACAGGCAATAATTAAGACTCCCTTCTGCATAGCGGATTTTTAGAGTTCCTTCTATATGAATAGAACGCTATACTAATTTTACTTTTACAGCATTCGTAACGGATTGCAAACCTAGCAAAGTCATTTTTTTTCTTTTACGTATACCAGCTAATAAGCAAGATAACATGCCTAATATATAATATAGGAAACATTCGGGTATATCTACCATCAACGCATCTCAGATAAGATTGTAAAACTATTGGTGTACTACACAGACTATAATCGCTGTTCAGTTACTGCACCTGGGAAGAGGTGTTTCAATTCGAATGACAATAAGCTGCATAGAAAATACGATTTATATGACCAACAAACCACATACCTTGATTTCTTCCTTTTCCTCCTCAGCAATTCCCTTGGTATTCGACCGATGCTTGTTTCGAGGTCGAACAACCACTGCCTCTTCAGATCCATAAGTCTTGACCTGTGATCACGTGTATTAATTATTGAGTTGGGTACAGTTTACAACAAACTACCTATTCCTCCAACTTTGGTTGTCACGTAGAGTCGGAAGGTAACTAAGATAGCACAAGTTGGAGAATAAGCTACCAAAATCATTCAACAAAGAGAGTTTGCTAATAGTACCACATCTGCAGCATAATATTTGGTTTGCCGCCTTCTGTCAATGAACAATGCCAGCATTTATGTGGACTCGGTATCCCTCTGATGTTATCATGTATCACACCGGTGGTCACATACACCGTTGTATTACTGCTGCTGCTACTAACACAATAGTCTGAGTGCCAAATGCAGCAGCTACAGCGATGCTGCCACCCTAAGAATACACCACATACTCAAACTGTCGCCTATCTGCATGTCACATAAACACAATCATCTGCGCGCTTTTATCACGAGCTTCGTAGCGAAACGTATTACTTTCTCACCATGGCCGCCTTTCATAGGCCACCGATACCACCAACACCCTCGTGCGCTACAACCTACTCAGCAAGTTACGTGCAAAGAGAAGCTTGAAAGCCGATATATAGGTATGTAAACTACATCGTGCTAATACCTCGTTAGTTGAGGACATACGTCCTTCGTCTTCCTCCCCCACAACGGGGTTCAAGTGCCACTTGGCGTCCTCCGCTGACGGCGCCTTGACTGAGCGTACCGTATGGATAAGCGAGTCCAGAGACTTTGACAGAGACAGCCGCCTGGCTGTATTATTGTCCCCTTCACCCACGTTTGATACCACTGATGCTTTCCTATCTGCCGGGGCTACGAATGGGGTGATGTTCTCGGTACTAGTGGCCATGGCCAATTGAGATACATCCCATTTGTCAAAGAGGTACGGTTCGTCTGTATGTCGGAACGGAAAGTGACATGTGTAAGAACGAAGCGGATACTCGACCTCCGTTGTGTGCAATACGGCATGATATTGATGGAAGGGTCTTCACCACTACGATACAATGAATGATACATGCATGGTATATGAACAAGCTGTACCGGAAAAGGTTTCGACTTTTTAGTTCAAAAATAGAGTATACCCGTTTTTGAATATATACATGTGCATTGTGCGTGCATCAAACGTGTTTGATCCCTCACCTGTGCCTGTTGCCTGAGTAGACGCTGCGGTCATATGTGAGCCACTCGATGCCATTCCCCGCAATGCGTTTCCGCGTGGTGTGTTCTCGCCAATCATGTGATCTTCGCCTACTTGCGATAGAGTGTGTGTGCTTATATCTGATACTTCCGAGTTGATGGTATGAGATGATGGTGTCTTATGTTTCGTGCCTGGCGATTTGTTGGGCCTATTTTTGCGGCTGAACCCTCTCAGAAGTCCCTTTCGCATGTGTGTCCTGGAGTTGAGGTGTCCAATGATGTTGCGAACATAGATCAATCTCTGACATAGACTCAACATTCCATGTATGTTTTGTGAGGAATGTGAGGGTTTATACTGTACATGTAGCACACAGACTTCAAACTGCGGTTGCGACTACTGAAGGTCAATGTAATTACAGTATCATACTATGCTTACTATTGTGTCATACTCACATCAGACATACACACAACATTATTGCGAAGGAGCAATGACAAATACCAGACCGACAAAGGTTATACGTCAACAAAATACAATACGTTTTGAAACGTGGATCCAGCATTTCTTACTCTTTATACGTAGGTAGGACAGGCAGACTCTCTCCAATAGTTGTAACTACCTCTGAGTATAAAATTTATATTTGCTACACAATGCAAGTATGTTCAGTGAATCAAGAACTAATGTATATCACTACATTTCAATACTTCAAGTACACAACGTTAGAAGGGTTGCCAATAGATATACTCATAAATAATTCTACATATGTAAATATAAGTAAATTAATATATATATATATATATATATATAATTATAGGTATATATTTCTATATG